AAACTACCTAAGCATGGGTATGCATGGGGAAATTCAAACGTTCAGATATATCAATCATTTGTTAAGAACCTCAAAACGTAGCTCTGCAAACATATTCACATTGTTAATGCCTCTAGGACTTATAGAAGAATATTTTCTTGAATTATTGTTGCTTGCTGTGGCGTACTTTCAGTCATTTTGAGAGTGTTTGAGATATGATGTCAGTTTTGGTTGTATGGGGACACATAGCCATATGCAGCCAATATTGCTTTACGATGACGTGGGGGCTAGCTGCACTGGTTGAGCATGCAAGCAATCAACACAGGGTTTGCCGAGGTAAACTAAGATGAGTTATTGGTAGAGTTTGGAGTTGAGTGAAGGTTCTTTGATTTTGAAATTCGACTGAATTTGGTATCATTGCAATTGTTAGCTTGTACACAAAGTAAGAATATTGCATTTGTTTACGGGAGAACTAAACCGATTGGACATCGATTGGTGATCTAAATGGGCCTATAACTTCCTACATACCCCTAGGAGCCATATATATGAAAGATTCACCAAAAGAGAGAAAATTTGTACAATTTGAGGGTCTTAAGTAGGCGAATTGGCATATGTGTCAGGGTCGGAAATACATAGGAGCGACAGGCTACTTCGCCCTTGTGTATAAAATAGCCCCCTAAAATCCTGAAAACTGTTCTTGAAAGGTAGGAAGAGTCGCCACGATATGTCACTTCTGATTCTGATTGCCCATGCACTGATAACCGCCTAGCCTAGCCTTGAACAAGGCCACCTGTCTGATAGCAACGAGCGACTAAAAGAGACTAATCGCGAAAGCCCAAGTGAACGACAGAGCGAGAATCACAGCCAGTTAGCCTTTGGTAATCTGGTTTTGATTTCTTATGTTAACCTTTGTTTCCGACTGGAATACTCTACCGAAATAGTAGAACGTTGAGGAGTATCCCAGAAGAAGAGAAGTAGCGTCCAATCACCAAACATATCCTCGCATTACGTCAGCATATAGTATCCATCCACACACACACACACACACACGGAGTAAACTGTATGTATAGTACAAACACGGACCTACTAAGTTAACTACTGACGTTCATAGTTCACACACACACACACACACTGACGTTCGGGCTAAGACTGGGGGATCCGTTCTAATTGGTCAATAAATCCAATGCTATGAATAATTCATGCGGAGCAGTAATATATCTACATTGCAAAAGGCTCTCGTGGCGGTCGCGCGTTCACCCTGGGTATCTAGACTCATCTCAGCCGCTTAGCCAGAGTCACGAGGCCTTGTCAAAAGGCTAATAATCGCCCGGCCTCCAGCCACAATGGACACAGGTTTGCAGCTCAATGATGCATCGCCCTACGAGCCCGCACACACGATCCAAGTACTGGCAATATAATGCATGCATGGCTGTGCGCGCGTACCGATATGATGTCAACACCACATGTACACTGCTAACGCGTGCTTCATACAAAGTACCGTATCATACCCATATTATGCATGATGCAAATAAGAATTTATGAAAGGCGTCCATCAGTACTGAACTGCTAGCGACCAAATTGGTACGAAATATGTTTATTCAGTCGTTTTTTTGTTGTTGACATGGCAGGGAACAAAAATTGTTGTATATAAATACCTAGCCATTCTTTTGGTGATTTTACTCACATCATCAGATTTCCATGAAAAAATGGCTTCTATTAAGAGAATACTTGTAACTCCACGATAAATCATATTTACGCCAACAGTTTAAAGAGATGGCGCTGCTCAGATTTTTTCTCTTCTTTTTTTTGCCGATGTTGTAGGAAGCACCCCTGGTCCATTTTCCAAAAACCCACACAATTTTTACTTTGAGGTGCAGTTGAAAGCGCCGATTTGTGCTTTTGAACTTGTCACAAATAATAGAAACAAAATTGTTTTTATAACTAAAGATGACAGACAAATTTTCTTATGATTCCAAACAAAAATCTGGACATTGGCAGCTAGTTTGGTCATAGTTTCTGAGTGGTGAGTTGACATTGACACCCCGTGTATGATTGAACTTGGCAACATTTTTACTCACGGCACCATGCCGGTGCTCTTCCAGGCAGGCGGGTGCGCGTCGACCTGCACAGTGTGCTAGGTGGAGGGGCATAAATCGACACTCAGAAGAACAAAAAACAAAAACAAGGCGGCCGTATATACGTGTATGAGAAATCATACTTGTGTAGTTGTCAACTACGAGTACATGACTATCAAAGCACTTGTCGCAGCCTTAGTATGTACTGGTAAGCATTGCATGTAAAAGCCTTGTTTAATAAAAATTGTTAACAAAATAGGGCCTCATTCATGTGTTAAACTGCCCCACAAAGACCTTCACAATAAAATAAAATGATATATTGAAAATGTTAATTGGTGTACCGGTAGTGAGAATTAAAACCTTTGGGCATTTAACATAGAGATCAGAGTATGCATAGGAGTCGTTCTTTTCCCTTTAAAATATTTTCTTTTTGCCATGGAGGTTAATACTCGAGGTGAGTTAATACTCGAGGTGGTCTAATCCAGGTAGGTAAACAAAGTGTTAGACAAGTACAGTGTAAGCAAACTAAAGGTATATTTCACTTACCAATAAGCTCTCTATCTTTTGCTTTGAATCTGGGCTGTAAACAGAAGGAAAAAAAGACGATTATCATCAGCATCCACAAAAAATATAAATTATGAAATAAGAAAGTTGTTTCGACTCTATGAATCAGTGACATTACAATTTGGCCTAAATAGTATAACATTCCCTTTTATGCAGCTTGTAAGTGTCAGCTTGCATGGTGATGTGGATATACAGTAGGCTTAATTGCGGGTGCACCATGTGAGAGAGAGAGGGAGGATTGAGGAGTCCTGAAAAGGACTCTCGGTAATCTTTCTTGAGGGTTTGTTAGTCCTGAAAATAGGATAGTCAACCTGTTCGAAACGTTGAGCTACTCCCGCTACTCATCCTCTCCAAGCGCTATAGTTCTCCTTAGAACTACAAGCTAAGAAAGATAACCAACAGTCTTTTTCAAGAATATACAAACAGTCCTTTTCAGGACTCCTCAATCCTCCTTCTCTCTCATATGGTGCACCCGCAAGCCTGTATATCCCATTTATGTATAGTTAGTTCAACTTTTAAAAATCATATAGATCTGTCTTATGTGATTTTGTTTCCTTCATTTAAAGCAATTTGCCATGAAGGTTGGATTGGGCCTTAAATAAAGTTATTAGGCCTAGATGATATGGTGAGATGTACATACCGGTAGGCCTATCCTCCAATTCATCTCTTCATACATATATTTTGACAAAATTTAATATGTTCAATGCCTGATAAATCACAAAATCTACAGTACAGTAATTACACAATAACAATTTTAATGCAGAATCAAAAACACTATCTCTTCAACACACCGCACAGTACAAGATACACACAAAAGTATGAACTTCACTTCACATGAATTTTAGGAGAGTCATAAATATGTATACATGCCTACATCATACATACATACTCCAACATACAAGTTACATACAACATACTCCTCCTACCAAACCATACCATATAGCCCCCCCCCCCCCAAAAAAAAAAAAAAAAAAAAAAACCTAATATTACTTATTATGACAATGAAAAAAATGTGTGCCTACATTATAATCCAAAATGGCGGCCTGAATGATTTACCTTTTTCTCTCCTTAGACTAATATTATTAAAGGGGAAGTCCACCCTGAAATTAAGTTAGTTTTAATAGGAGTAGAAAAATGAGAGAAACAAGTCAGTGAAAGTTTGAGCAAATTCCGATTAAAAATAAGGAAGTTAGGATTTTTTAAGTTGTGATCAATCAAACAAATTGGCAACTCTATGACGTATCATGCGAGCTCAACTTCCATTTGCTCAGTACTAAAAAATCTAAAATTTTCATTTCCCTCAAGAAAAATTTCAACCATACATGCACCCTAAATATAATAATTGCAAATATGTTTCTATACTACCCCTGCAAGGAACAAAATATATTCCGTCATCAATAACAAGAAAAACAAGATTTTATGGAATATTATGCACAAAGCAAATGAAGGAGAGCTCGTATAATAAGTCACAGAGTTGCCAATTTGTATTTGATTGATCACAACTTCAATAATTCATAACTTTCTTATTTTCATTCAGAATTTGCTCAAACTTTCACTCACCTGATTTTCTTATTATTCTGCCTCTATCGAAACAACTTATTTTTGGGGTGGACTTTCCCTTTAAATTCAAAATCATGAAAAAACACTTAATATCAACAAACATGTAGTCTACAACAACTCCAAATGCAAATAATCCCAGCTTTGCATTACTTTATAGTATTTGATAGCCCAAATCTTGACAATTTTCTGCATTCCCCCCCCCCCCAAAAAAAAATCATTTTCATTGATCGGCGATCAGAATTTAATATCCCATTTCACCTGATCGGCCTACGATCGGCCCTGATCCGATTATCGGTTACAGTTAACAGTACTTAGTCATGCTATTTGCTTCTAATATCCTGGTCATAATACACCTGAAAATTCCTGATATAATATACAGGTATCAAATGTACATTTGTATGTAGACTGTAGAGTGTTAACTTTTGAATATCAATGAAAATATTCTTTACATCCTGGATCAAAAGTGATACTGATTGTTTGGTTAGTGTATCCATAGTACATGTAAACACAGATGATTGGCAGAGAGAAATGATTCATGGAGATTACATTATAATACTATCCATGGAGCCTTGCTAAGCGAATATATACAGTACTCGTAAGCAAATTCCGGTAGGATGCGACCGTCATTGTTGGTCAAACAGTTTTTGAGCGTCAAGGGAGTGGAGATTGTGCACACAGTGTGTGCCAGCAAGTATTGAATCTAATGACCGGGTTATAGTACATCTGTAATGCGCTTATAAAAGCGGAATATTATTTTTATTATATTATTATTTCTCCATGCCTTTGCCCAGATTATATGATTTGTATCATATTGTGTGCATGACATTTCACAAAATCTGTTATGAACTTTGAAGAATTGATACTATTTTCTGAATATTGTATTCATAATCATTAATTTGTATATAAATACATGTACACTACAGTTGCTTATCAAAATTCAGGTTTTTCTTGATTTAACTGAAAAAATTACTCTATATTAGTGCATCTACACACAAAAATGCGTTATAACTTGGATGCTGGTGTGAGGAAAAAAGATTTTTAGGGGAAAATGGAAAATTTATATTATCAATATAAAGAAAACAATTAGTGGATAGTGAGGCAATGACGTCACAGATTCATGAGTGAGTTGCCAATTTGTCTTGTGATTTTCAAAGTTTTTCAAGTCATTAAAAATTTATAACTTTCTTATTCAAACTGTTTTTGATTTACATTTCTTTACATTTAAATGAAAGAAAACAAAATGACCATGCAACTGCAAAGGGCAATGTCTAAATAATTCTGTCAATAAATTTGCTTCCACAAACATTTTGACCTTTTTCAAAAATGTAAAAAAAAAAATTATGATCATAACCAGGGATAGGTGAGTTTTAAACTCACATATCCCTGATCATAACTAAGCCAATATTTTTCATTTTACTGATTTGCAAAATCATAAAATATTGAAAAGGTTTATAATTAAAAATAACTCCATTGTAACATGATCTACAACATGAATCTATTTCTCAACTTGTCACATGTAGTGAAGAGAAAATCTTGCAAACTTTTGATTGAGAACACCTGGCACTAGACAATGAGCATTTTCCAGCCCTGAAGTGTATGGATGAAAGGATGGGAAATAATATTTCACTCCAGTTATCTATTCTCCTTCATTGCATTAGGGAAGTCCATCCAGATAATTAGCTGGTTTTAATAAGAGCAGAGATACTGAAGAAACATAATAGTGACACTTTGAGTAATATCAAAATAAAAAATAGGAAAGTAATGAATTGGCAATACTGCAACATTTCTTGAGAGGTCCTCTCAAACTTGCTCTGTACATAAAATTGTGTAAACTTTCATTATGACACGGAATAGATCTGTACAATTGTATAAATCATATGTCCAATAATTATAATTAAGGTGCATGTATGATTGGAAATTTTCTTTAGAGCAAAAATAGAAAATATTTTTTAGGGAGGGGACATCCCACCCTATACGTCACTCATTTTTCTGCTTCTATGAAAACTAACAATATCAGGGTGGACTTCCCCTGGAAGTTAAAGAAACAAGTATGACAATCTGATTTACTAGTGGCTCGATACATATAATTTTCTTTGTACATTCAGACCATAGAAATACAGTTTTCACAGAATAACCAGAATGTTTACATTTGGAAAATTTCTCATGTCTTAGTTGCAATGATATACGTTGTATACTACAGGGTTATAGGCCTACATGTAGATGTTTCCTGAATATGAGTACATAATCCTCCATCTATGACATGAGCCTGAGGCATTTTTTGAAGAATAAGTCATTAATTTAGTGAGGAAAATGCAGTAATAATGGCCTTCTCATGAAGAGGAAAAAAATTGTAGATTCTCCCTGCCATAAACCAAACACTGAAGAGGCATACTTGCGCCTACTCGCTTTAATACACAACAGCATGTACACAGAGCACTGTCGTATATACAATGTAATTTTAGGTCGCCGCCATTCATATGAGCTAGCACACATGAACGTGAGCTGAGCAATGCATGCATGCTACACAATCACATCAAAACAAAGAGCTTTCAACACACATACACACAGTATACACACCCTAACTCAAGCTAAGAAGCTGCCTAACACTAGGGAGATGTGAGATTTGTAGCACAAGTGGCTTGATATATTGACCCTCCTTTTAAAATTCATGGTTTCCAAGAAATCAATTTTTGTAGATTTACATATATGTCAATGATGATCACATACAACATCACTCTGTTTCCATCTGAAGAGTCTTCAACACTAAATTGTAGAAAATTAACAAACCAGTGATGGCGAACTGTGACATGTTATCTGTTTGGTATTGATCAATCATATCTTGCTTAACTTTGAAATATTTCAATAAATACATTATGTGTGCTTCTCTGCTCTTACCAAAACATTTCCTGTGAATAGTGCTACTTCCTGATCCTTAAAGGCAGTAAACAATCATTTCTTGTACAGCTAAATATCAACATGTGGGTCATGTATGCTAATTTTATGTAGTGTCCACTAGTTTCATGCAGGGTCGGTGAGTTTTAAATGGTGAATTTCTGTTTGGTCTACAATGGTCTACAACCAGTATGTCTACTAACCAAACAGTCTATTCCCACATGGTCTACACAAAGCCTGTCTACTATCCACATGGTCTCAAAATCATTAAATATATACTTATCATTTGGTCTAATGACCAATTAGACTAATAGTCATTTGGTCTAATCTCCATTTAGTCTAATCTCCAATAAATCTACGACCCATTTGGTTAATCACTCATTTGGTCTAATTGCCAGTCTGGTCTAATTCCCAGTTTGTCCATGTCTAATTTATCTACTATCCATACCGTCTGATAATAATTCATCATCAAATGATTATTAGACCTTTAATATGGATGGTGGACGAAATGGGAATCTGAAAAACTGGAAACTATATTTCTCAAAATAACCTCATGACCTCAAC